AGTTCTGAGAACCGGTTTTAGCAGGTTGCTGAGTGGCAGGTTAGAACTTACTCATGCCTGTGGTCTGGACGTTGATACCTACAGTCCCTGACACGAGCATAGCAAAGGCCAGGGTTAGAGAGATGAGAATAGACCAGCACTGAGATGATCTTGCAAAATGCTGAGTATCCTCAGCTCCCACTGACTGTAGCAATAGGATAAATGGGGATGAAAAATTGGGAGGAAAGAAATGTAGTGTGACCACCTGACATATTGTGTTACTGCATATTCACTGGGGACAAGGAGACAAACTTAATCCTGGAATAATACACAAGCATAATAGGAATTAGTGAGGTTGAAGGCAATAACACATTTCTCTTAGAGGCATAATTCAGGAATAGTGGCCATTGTTTTCAGATCGTACTATAAACCTCTCAAGTGCAACCTCCCTTGACAGTTGGATGTCCCTTTTGCTTTTAAGCTTGTCCAGCAATGTGACACACCGGTATACCTCCCCTGGTGAGTTTACTGTCTTTGTGGAATGCACAACCAGTGAATGGCACGTTACAGCACAAAAACTAGTGACTGTTCAGGACAAGATGGATCAGCTCAGCATTACTGGGTGCTACAGCAAGTACGAATCAGGAAACAGTTCTCACTGCAGGACCTTGTACGGGGAAATGTTATGGATCCAAGTTGAACTTAATGGAGGTGAGAAGAATCAGTTTGCACAGATAAGTGGCAGGTTCAGTGGGTACAGGCAGAATCTCCACTAAGCAAATCTGTATTTATTTAAACGAAAGCTTTCACTAAACGTTAACTCTCTCAAACTAACTTCATCCCACTTCCATGCTATGGACACACTTCAGATGTGAGCACAAACCCTTTTCCCTTCTGGATACATCTGTCAAGCAAGGACCATATCAGCCTAAAGAATTAATACAGCCTGCTCTTCTTGGCACTGCATTTAGTTGGAGCATGGGTACGGGCATGGATGTGGGTGAACATACAGTTGGGGAAGGCAAGCCCCAGCCCAGCTCCTTCTACCTGAGTCCCCACCTCTTCTGCAACTCCCCCTCCCTCTTATGGAGCCAAGCTTGGCCTCCACTGCAGGTGACTGCCTCCCACCCTCTGAAAATGCCCAGATCTCTTCGTTTCCCCCATCCCAGTGAGTGGCACAGCCCCAACCTTCCTAGCCAGCTGGAGCACTTGGTGGACAGAGACCCAAGCAGCCACGCTGTGGCCTCAGCTATCCCAAGCAGCCGGCAATTTTGGGAGGGCAGTTTTGGGAGGGCAAGGCCTTCCCTTGCCTATGTTATCCATGACAGTTGGGCACTAGGAGTCCAATACTTGGTTTCTGGCTCTGCATAGACTCATTGTGTGATCTGGAGATGAATGTTTGCAGAACATTGCTGCAATAGTTGCCTAGCTCAGTTATTTATGTGCCAATATTGAATGATCTGTAACCAAATTCTGAAATCCTACTTTCTAGGTACTGGAGTGACGTACACGCTAACAGCTGACAACATGACTCTGATTGAATCCAGTGCAAAGGAAGGAACTGTCCCTCATAATCTGACGCTTGATGGTACCTCTCAGCAGCTGATTGGCCCAGGGCTACATCAACTAGAAATTCTGGCAACCAGCAACACAACAACTACAGAGGTTTCTGAAAGCATCACTGTTCAATTAGTTGAACCTATATCTGGTCTTCAGGCGGTGTTAGCTTCCAATACCCTGGAAATGGGAAAAAACCTGGAAATAAATGTGTCTGTGGCTCATGGTACACCAGATAAGCTGAAGTTTGAGGTGGTCGGATCTAACAAAACATACTCTCACCAGAAAGACATCTCTAAAGGAGAACCTGGAATATACAGCATTCCTGTCCATTCTGAAGGTACAGTTCTCTGGCATATTATTTTTTTCCCTATAAAGAGTCTGATTTTTTTTTTTTTTACTTAAGATTAAGGAAAGCAAGAAAGTACAAAAGTCAATTCTCCATCTGAGGGCAATTGGATCTCCTTTGCAATAGGCTGCAAGAATTCTGAGAAAAAAATAGCTGCTGTCTCTGCACACAGACCGAGTTCGGATAGACTGACAAGTATCCTACATAGAAAATACATGCATCACAATTTCAGAGCTATCACATCAAATACAGTATACACTCTCTCCTTCAATATTTCTTTGTAATTCTTAAATAATGCAAATCAATAGTTACTGTCAAGTCTCAGTTTGATAAGATGTTTGTTGTGTCTCTGTAAGAAGGATGGGGCATACAAGCTTGTTGAGATGTCTGTGTGGCAGCTGTGCAGTTACTTATTTTCTGTTTTCTCTTCTTTATTCAAGCAACTATTCTGTGCAACCTAAAGGTGCAGGGCCAGTTCTACACATGGGTGACTCCAATGATTTAACTGGTGTCAGGTCAACGCAAACATGGTGTAACAAAGTGGACAACTGGGCCTTCAGTCTTTTATTTTTCTAACCAATACAAGATCCATCACTTAGCAGCTATGTCTGCCCATGAGCATTGGTGCATGCTCATTTCCAAAGCTGGGCTTGCCCGACATTGTGCACCAAGATCTGTACCATGACAGTAGAAGTACAACTTTCAAACTCTTGATGGGACACAGGGTGGTTAAAAAAGTGTTCTGCCTGGTACCTGGCATTTGGAGAGGGCCCCACAACATCTGTAAGGCAACTGAGGGGCACATAGAGTGCAAGCACATTTTGCTGGGGGAGGAGTGGAAGGAGGAAGGACAGCAGTCCTAACAGACTCAGGATGAGACTAGAGGCAGAAGCCACATTATCTGGATTGAGTTGTTCTGATGTGGGTCATCTTGGACTGGCAATCACACTGGAAGGTTTTGTGCTGGCCCTGACTCTAGCTATTCTGGGGGGAAGGATAGCTCAGTGGTTTGAGCATTGGCCTGCTAACCCCAAAGTGGTGAGTTCAATCCTTGCAGAGACCATATGCGGCAAAAATTGTCAGGGACTTGGCCCTGCTGTGAAATCAGGGAACTAGACTTTTAAACGAGGGGTCTTCCGCGAGACCTCTCAGAACTGCCGGAATTCTACCAGGACCTCCTCCAGACCTGGAAGCTCTTCTTGGCGACCAGGTCCGTTGTGGCCTCCGAGGGAGCAGACCTCATCGCGGAGCCCCTGCTCCACAATCCAGCCTTGTGCGTGCAGGTGGCGGAGTCTCCCTCGGTGCGCCGGAGGCTGATCCTGGCAGAAACCACCATGGTCGGGGACCTCCTGGACTACGACAGGGGGGACTGGGTGGATCCCCGAGCGCTCGCTCAACGCATGGGGCTCTCCACCCTTCGAACCCCCCTGCGCCTACTCCAGGAGGTGAAGGCGGCTTTGTCGCAGCCCGCTCGCGATCTCCTACAGAGAGCCCTGCGAGAGGGAACGCTCCGCCCCTCCCCTCCTGCAAAGCCTCCGTCCCTCTTTATTGGGCCCCTGTCCCGCGGGCCCCCCCGGCCTCCCCACCCTTGGACCCCCAGCCGGCTGCAAAATCTGCAGCCGGTCTGTTTCCGGACCGCGCCCAGGGAACAGCTGTACACGCTCGTGCTCCACGCTTTGCATTTCCCCACCCTCGTGTCCCGCCCCGATACAAAGTGGCGGGACTACCTCAGACCTATAGAGGGTGGGGAACCCCGATGGGCCAGCGTTTATTCGACCTTAATTCCGCGGCCCGTCGGGGACATCAGTTGGCGGCTCCTCCACGGAGCCGTGAGCACGGGCGTGTACTTGGCGCGGTTCACCCCTATCCCAGACACCTGCCCCTTTTGCGGCGTGAGGGAGAACCTGGCGCACGCCTACCTTGAATGCGCCAGGTTGCAGCCCCTATTCCGGCTCCTCCAGAACCTCTTATTGAGGTTCTGGCTGCACTTTTCCCCTCACCTTTTTATTTATGCACACCCAATCCGTGGCCCCACAAAGTCGCGAGACCTCCTCGTCAACCTCCTCCTGGCCTTGGCGAAAGTTGCCATCTACAACAGCAGGAGGAGGATGCTAGACGAGGGGGTTCTCTGCGACTGTGGGGCCTATTTCCGCTCCTCCCTCGTGTCACGAATCCGGGCAGAGTTCCTCTGGGCGGCGTCCACTGGCTCCATCGACAGCTTTGAGGAGCAGTGGGCGCTGTCCGGGGTTCTCTGCTCGGTGTCCCCATCCGGCTCCCTTATTTTGAACCTCTAGCCCGCACTTCTTGATCCTTTAGTCATTATTTGTCCCAAGAAATCAATTGAACATGGGTCCAGTGTCCCTCCCATAAGGTTGGGGAGGGGCTTTTAGAAGGTGATGGTGAGCCCGCCCACCATCCCATGATTTCAAATAGGTCATTCTACCGCCATATTATGAATACCCCTCACTGTAGTGCTCTCTCCCCCTCTAGTGGTGGCTGGGGCCGGTTGATGTACCTGTCTCCGCTTGGCAAATAGTAAATCTTATATTTTAGCTCAGGCAGAAGAGTCTCATGCTTTAGATTTAGAGGTGACAGGTTTAATTCCCACTGCTGCTGATCCACTCAGGGGCAGGGTGTTACACACCCTATAAGCTGATGGAGTTTGGGATCCAGTGCAGTTCAGTTTTGGAGGCAGGCCAGTTACATTGTTCCTGGATTTGTTGTTGTGAGGTGCTATCGGAGCTAGCTGGCAGTGTTAAGCTGAAGGTGGTCAAAGAGTTTTTAAAAGTTCAGATGTGAGGGCAGCACTGTTCTTGGAGGTCCACTGCCTTTGCCTAAGTCTTATTCTAAGGATAAGCTCAGCAAGCCTAGCAATTCACAAGGGAGGTAAAGGATCTCTTCATAAAGACCTGGGGCACAAAGTTGGATTTTATGACTCAAACATGTAGGTCTAGTGCACAACTGCAGCTAATGCTTTATCTTTGCCACCCTGTCCTTCATAGGTACATTTGTGGTCAAGGTGCTGGCTATGAATGCCTTCTCGAACATGAGTGTGGAGATTGGGAGTATCGCTGTAGTGGCCAACAGTTCTCTGAACGAAGGTAATAATGCTTACCTAGCATTGCTGTTTGCAGTCGTATCCTGTGACCCCTCAGAGTAAATCAGTTCACTGTACTGAGTGCTTGCATGGTCATTGCTTCCCACCAGAAGCAGTTTCTTGGAGACTCTGGGGAAAGAAACCAGAACCAACATATACACTCGTTGACTGTCTTGTTGCTAATCTCAGAGACGACAAGGGACTGACTAGGCATGAAGAATAAACACACGCTCCTCATCCAGTCCAGTCCTTAATATAAGGAAGCAGGGACACTGGCTATGAAATACAGGAAAGCCAGCCTTGATCATTCTGTTATTGTTTCATCCAGTACTAGTTGCACTACAGAATCACTAGCAGTTTTGCCACTGACTTCAATAGAGCAGGATCATCCCTATATGAGAAGATGGACTTCTAAGAAGTGTCCATTTGGCACCTCTTACCAGCACTCAATTCACTTTAAATATCAAGTGAGAGTTACAAGAATGCATAACATTGTCAATTTAAAAAATCATGTTTTTATAAAAGGCCAATAGCTCCTTATTATTTCTGCCTAATGAAGAGAGTTATCCTGGCTTTGAAGTGGTCCCGGCTTGGCATCTCTCTGCACAAGGTTACATATTGCACACATGTTTGTGCTAGAAAGAATTAGCCATAGATGTGGCCTGGGAAATACTTGCAGATGCTGTGTAATACCTGAATTCCAGCAGCATGTGAACTGCTGTCGACAAATAGCATGTTACTAGAGAGCTCAAGTCACAGCTATATTCTTAATAGTAAAAAGATAGTGATATATTTGATCCCATGAACTAATGAGCTACAGTAATAACACTAGTGACCCCTTCATTTCCACTCTCTCAAATTGTCTTTGCATTCTCCCTTAAGATGTAAGCTTTTTGGGGGCAAGCACTGTCTTTTTGGTCAGTGTTTGCATTTAGCACAATGGGACTGTCATTCATCACTAGGGGTGTGTCTAGACTACAAGTGGCCTTTTTTCAAAAAAACGTCTCCTGTATCTAGACTGCTGCCACGTTCTTTCAAAAGAAAATAGAAAGAACGCGGCAGTTTTTTCAACTGCGGAAAACCTCGTTTTACGAGGAATAACGCCTTTTTTGAAAAAAAGGCGCTATGTAATGCAAAGTGTGCTTTTTCAAAAGAGAGCATCCAGACTGCCTGGGTGCTCTCTTTTGAAAAAGCGGCTTGCTTTTTTGAAAGTACTGGTTGTAGTCTAGATGCTCTTTTTCGAAAGAGGCTTGCAGTCTAGATGTAGCGTAGGGTTCCTAGATATCATAGTAATAAAAAAAAGTTCAATTAATTTACTCCTGATTTACCCACTGAAAATGAGAAGCTAAACAGGATCCTCTTCTTATAATATATTAGTTGCGTCTTGTTGTTATTTTGCCCATTGCAACATTTCTGCTTATCATAATTTGGGAGTTTGATTCCTGTAACCCTGACTTTCAGACAGATTTAAGTAAATCATGATTTGCCTGCAGTCACAATGCTCAGTCATGGCTGTCTGGCAGCCTTCTGAATGGCAGTAAAACATTCTGTTATCTTCTTTATATTTAACAGACCTGTCTCATGACAAAGACAAATCCAAAGCAAACATTCAAAAGACAAATGTGAGTATTGTTCAAAGGTATAACCCTAAGTGAAAATGCTAAGAAATATATCTTGGTTGTTAATACTGCCTGAAGAACATTTGCAACACGCAGAATTATGGACCCGATTTTTCATGTTGCTTAGCACCCTCAACTCCAATTGATTTCAGTAGGGGATGTTGAAATGTTCAGCACATCACATGGCTGTGCCCTTTAAATCTGAGGCACTGCTACATAGAATCCACACTTTATATCTCTGCGGCAATGACAGGCTTTACATATTTTCTAAAGTTCACAGTGGAGAAATTGGAAAGGGTACAGAGAAGAGCGACAAGAATGATTAAAGGTTTAGAGAACATGACCTATGAAGCCAGGCTTCATGAACTGGGCTTGTTTAGTTTGGAAAAAAGAAGATTAAGGGGGGACATGATAGCGGTTTTCAAATATCTAAAAGGGTGTCACAAGGAGGAAGGAGAAAATTTGTTCCTCTTGGTTTCTGAGGACAGGACAAGGAGTAATGGGCTTAAAGTGCAGCAGGGGAGGTTTAGATTGGACATTAGGAAAAAATTCCTAACTGTCAGGGTGGTCAAATATTGGAATAAATTGCCAAGGGAGGTGGTGGAATCTCCCTCTCTGGAGATATTTAAGAACAGTTTAGATAGACATCTGTCAGGGATGGTGTAGGTGGAGCTTGGTCCTGCCTTGAGGGCGGGGGGCTGGACTCGATGACCTCTTGAGGTCCCTTCCAGTCCTATTATTCTATGATTCTATGATTCTATGAAAAGCCAGCCAATAAAAATAAACAGATTAGAAAACATATTTTTCGCCAACAACCAACATTTCTTGGACTGAAATCCTCTTATATATATTTTTTAAAAGTCAACTTTTAAAAAAATCCATTTTATGAGAGGGTATCTGTTAAATAGAATGTCTCAAATTTATTGTAAGTCCTTTTTACATTGTCCCTAAAGGTTTTTCTGCTCCCCTGTTGATACTGATAAGGGTCTTTTCAGTAAAGAAGATGCTAACAGTCTATTTAGAGTAAAAAAATGAAACTGACAATACCGTAAGTGCTGTCAATCCATAACCATAAACAAACTATAAACATAAGTTAAAATTATGTTTTTTTTCTTTGTGATGTAATAGTCTTAAGGTTTACTTGTAACTATAGCCAGTATAGAATTTCACATGGACATAATTTTTAAGATGACAGTATCCCTTCAAAACAGACTCCAATCAAAACAGAAACTATGTCAGAGTATGTCTACACTACCACCTTAGTTCGAACTAGGGTGATTAATGTAGTCATATGAACTTGCAAATGAAGCCCGGGATTTAAATATCCCGGGTTTCATTTGCATCTTGCCGGGCGCCACCATTTTTAAATCCCCGTTAGTGCGGACTCTGTGCCTGCGGCGCTACACGCGGCACGAACTAGATAGTTCAGAATAGGAAGCCTAATCTGAACTATCTGTATCCACGAGGCGTACAGATAGTTCGGAATAGGAAGCCTAATCTGAACTATCTAGTTCGTGCTGCTTGTAGCTGCGGGCACGGAGTCCGCACTAGCGGACATTTAAAAATGGCAGCGCCCGGCAACATGCAAATGAAGCCCTGGAAATTCAAATCCCGGGCTTCATTTGCAAGTTCGTATGACTACATTAACCACCCTAGTTTGAACTAGGGTGGTAGTGTAGACATACCCTATGAGAAACAGGAGGCATTGCTTGTCTTCATGACTAGAGCCATTATGTGTCAGGACTCTGAGGTTACGTCTACACTGAGTTATTTTTGTGGAAGAGGAAATGCAAATGAAGTGCTCATTAGCATTTCTCACGCTCTCATTTGCATATTCTCTTCCAATCCTTTTTGCGGAAGAGGCTTTTGTTCCCAAAAAAAGCAGCGTAGATGGGGCCATTTTGTTCAAAAAAAACCCTTTTATACAAGAACCATTATTCCTTTTTAAAAAAAGAGAAATAAGGGTTCTTGCACAAAAGGGTTTTTTTGCGCAAAATGTCCCCATCTACACTGCTTTTTTTGCGCAAAAGCCTCTTACGCAAAAAGAATCGGAAGAAAATATGCAAATGAAAGCATGAGAAATGCTGAGCACTTCATTTGCATTTCCTTTTCCGCAAAAATAGCGTAGTATAGACGTAGTGTGACAAAAAGAAAAAGACATCATTACTGTTATGTGACCTGTTGTAAGAGAAAGGACTGTCTGGTGCTTATAACCACAAGACTAAGTGTTGTGACATCTGAGTTCTAGTCTCAGATCTTCTATGTCGATGACCTTGGACATAAAAGGTCATAGACATAGACCATTATTTAAGTTACAGCTCTAAATGGAGTAGCTTGCAAGACTGGGATCTAATTTGTTTAGCCCTGAATCTCTCTGCTAAGAGAAAAATGCAGAGAGAACAATGCAACTCCCTTTTTCTTATTCATTACAAAACCATGAAAGGTTAGACATCTGTTCACGCACGTTGCTGCTCTAATTGGTATGTTCACTTTTTGTTTAGGGTGACAGAAGGAAAAATAAAATGTACATTAAACCTAGTCGCCATGTGGATCCTTTCACAACCGTTACACTTGACTGGCTAGATGACAGAGATAATTCTACCTACACCTGGACATGTGGTAAGTGCAGGGCATGTTTTGTTTTTTCCTACAGTTAGCTAGCTGCCTAATGGTAAACTCACCATCCTATTGGATGTGTTTGCCAGACTGATAGCCAGATGCCATAGATCCCACCTGGCTATAAACAAATGCTGTGTGCTCATTGTACAATCAAAACATCACTCCACATGGGCCTAGCTTTAATAACAAGCTCATTCCACAATACTGCTGCATGGACATTGGTCTGATCTTCTCCCTGGGGATGGTGGCTTCTTAGGCTCCATCTTTCAAGAGATGTGTTCCCGACCCTCAGCCTCTTCAGCCTTCTACTTCCACCTGCCCCATACTCAGAGTCTTAGGAGCTGGATGGACCCCAGTGAGCCAGCAAAATTAACTGGCAGCTCCCAGCAAATTTCTGACATCTGACTGCAAAATGCGCCAGCAGTGCCAGAGTAGCAGATCCCCTTTTTACACTAAGGAGAATCAGGCCTGCAGTATCTGAAGTGGGAGGATGCTTCTGTTTTTCTACCACAAGGGGAAAAAAGCATTCAAGGTTTAACATTGGACCAGGACTTGGGAGATCTGGGTTCTGGCTCTGCCACTGGGCATGTAGGCCACTCTTATTAAGTCTCATCATTTTTCCATGCCTCAGTTTTCCCACCTGTGAAATGGGGATAGTGAGACTTGCCTCCTTTGTGAGGCATTTTGAGTTCTATGGATGAAAAGCATGAGAGATGAGTTGGATATTATTACCCTCATTTAAAAGGAAATGTTTGCACAGGAGCTTGCTGGTCTGGGTGGCAGGAATTCCACTAATCAGAGTATGACACAGATCCCACCTTCCTGCCTGCCCCCACCAAACTCAGCAGTGACCTTGAAAGTGACAGTCATGAGCCATGGAAAAGAAGAGAA